GGATAACTACCATGGTCTTTTACAGTTGCCGGCACCGTGTTCACAAACTAAAGTGAGGTTAAAACCTAACCTTCAAAACCATGGTTTTTATCCCTAATTTTATCACTATTTTCGTGTCATCTGTGATCTGTACTACAAGGAGTCAAACTTGAAAACAAAAGCCTGGATTTTACAACGTATTGCAATGTACTTAGTAAATGTGGCTATTATGTTGTACGTCATACGTTGTTTTTCTATCTCACCTTTCTGAGATAAAATAAATAATTAAAAAAAATTAATAAAAAATGTGGACATTTAAAGTATAGGCCTATATTATAGAATATCTAATTTGCGATAATTTAGTTGTGTAGAAACTACCAGAAAAAATACATTTTAACAACAGGTACCGTACGCCATTGTATGTTGGCTGAGATTGTACATTGTACATTCATGCTACAAGTTATTGAGTGAAAATCGAGAAAAAAGCAACTTACTCGTTGACAAAGCATTTTATTTAGTTAAATATTTGCCAAAACTTGAATTTAGTATTAAATTCCTCTTATTGATTTACAATTGTTTATTTTTTTGTTTAGTTTCATAGTTTTTATGTGATTTTTTCACATCCCAATATGAGTTTAATAATACACATATTATTAATTAAATGTATTGAATGTTTTATGCAATAAATAATCTTCTATATCTATGTTTCAGAGGAGTGTCTCACGAACGATGAGTGTATTTCAGGGAAGATATGCAGAGCTAAGAAATGCACAGATCCTTGTGATGGCGTGTGTGGGCTTAACACAATATGTGTGGTAAAAGAAGGACTTCCGTTATGTTCCTGTAAAACTGGCTACAAAGGAGACCCGTTTACGGAATGCAAACCACGTATGTAGGCCTAGATTTACAAGGCTATTCTATTTGGGGATCAATATCAAGTGATTTATCTTATTGCTACACTTAGGTAGGTATGTTGTTAGTTTCGTTTGGATCTATTGCCATAAATAATATTAGTAGGGGCTTGAAAATAACTAGGCCTACCTTTTTAAATAAGTTCATGTTATAAAATTAAATCATAAAGATACAGTTTTTTAGACACACTTCAGCACCACTTATACACTATAACGGCTGCCTAGGAAATTTATAGCCCTTATCTAAAAATATAAAGATTATAATTTAACATCACTAGGTGGGAAACTTTAGTTATTTATTCTAAAATTAAATCAGACGTATAAATATCTTATTTAGCAGATCTAAAAAGATACGCCTGCCGCAGCAAATCTGCTGGTCATGCGAATTTCCATTTGCCTGATTAGATTTTCAAATTAAAAGTTATATGCAAATAACATTAGGTTTAACAAGTACCTAGGTTTGCTGCTACAGGGAGGGTACTAAAGTGTTTTTAGTAAAATATTAGTAATCTTAGTATAAAACAAATAAATTGTCCAAGTTTAATCAGATTATATCTATAAACAAGGAAACTGGAACGTTTTACTGTGTTCTCCATAACAATAACATGGGGATTTAAAATTTTATTTTTTTAACTTCCTCCGTAACCAATAACCATACAGAAACACTTTGATATAACAAATTTGTTTTGAATTTTTTATAAAATGTCTTAGAGATTTTTTGTACTTTTGAGGGTCAAAAATGAGAAAACGCAATTTTTGCCTCACAAGCCTTCCCGTAAAACCCCGTTCCCATGGTCCGATTATGCTGGTGCACGAACCCATTAAAATTTATCTCGCCTTACAAATTCAAACCAAATTTTATCAATATCGGACTCAGATTACTCAAGTTATCACTTTCACGGACACATACTTACATATATAACATTTAGAACGGATGGTGTTTTTGGTCTTTAGTGACGTCAAAATAAAAAAGTAAATCGGTCCCGGGCCTAGCTCTTACAATGAGAAGGTTTCATATAAAAGGGTAATAGCTATAGGTAAATTCGCTAACAGCATTATTACCTACTGCGTTCTCTTCCTGTTGTGAGACAAGAGTATTGCAGCTCGTAACATATTATATTTGATTAGTTTGTGTTGTTTTTGTGTAAATCATATTTTTTGAGAATTTTTAATAGTTGTATGTAAAAGCCATTATTAAAAATTAAAATTTACAAGGAGTCGAAAAAAATTGGAGGCAAAATGGATTAGTACAGTAGCCTACTCACATGCCAAATTTAATCAAAATCAGACCACAGTTTTAGTGGGTGGCTCTATAGGAATCCACATGCACACACATTACTTAAATAAACAAACGCTTATTTGAAACCTCAATCTCGTAATTTATTTGAAAATCAATACTTCCTCCTTATACTATGTATATAGGAGGACAAAGTGAAGGAATATGGGAGGTTTAAGATATAATGAGAATAACAAAAACTTTTTGTTATGTCGTGGCTGTTGTCTTTTAATGCATTTGGCAAAAGGTTTTGCTACAAACAACAATTCAACATTACAATTTAATAGTATATTTCGTACCTAGGGCCGAAAATGAGGTTTTGCCGGCTCGAGATAGTTTTTAAGTTCGAGACGAAGTCGAGAACTTAAATCGATCGAGAGCTGCAAAACCATTTCGGTCCATGGTACGAACGCTATTTTTCACCACACTATACCCTATTACCACTATTCACCACTATAATAATGTACACTGATAGTCAACACAACTACAACTTTAAGGTTATGTGAAGAAATAATTTGAGGAATCAGCAAAAATAAAATAAATAGTTGCTAGGAAACGGTGACAATAACACAATTCTATTGCAAAGCTATGGATTTTGATTGTGTATTTAAAATGCATTCATGTTTTAAGTAAGTAAGCGGACAGCTGATTTTGCGGCCCCGGCCTGTAAAAACCTGCTCGGTCCCCAAATTACGTTGACAGCTGGCATGGCCAGCAAAACGTAACTTTCAGCCACCAATTAACGTATGTAATACACCCAAAAACATCATAGTGTGGTGAAAAATACATACTGTGTTTAAAATATTGTTTATGTTTATAGAAAATGCAGAATGCACAGACGACTCCATGTGTACAACAGACAAGGCCTGTATTAGTCACAAGTGTGTAGATCCTTGTCTGGACAATAATTGTGGCCTCAACACTGAGTGTAGAGTGGTCAACCATCAACCAATGTGTGCTTGCCTCAAAGGATTCTTCTACACTCTAGAAAAAGGCTGCCTTCCTGAGTGTAAGAAAATATTTGAACTGCTAAAATTGAACTTTAACAATTGTGCTGGATCTAAGATGTAAGATATTGGATATACTAGATTGTAAGGGGAAAGTGTTAAGGAATGTTTATTGAGTAAGCTTAAGGAGAGTGGTACCAATAACTTAATATGCAAACTGCACAAAGCATTTGCTTTAGGTAGAGTAGACCTATGTTAGATGAGAGACATAATCAGCGGTAGTGATGAGATAGGCTTGAGTATAGTGAGCTTTAGCTACGTTGAGCATCTCTTTTTGCTGCCATATACAGGATGCTGGTATATTTGTGGCTCCAATATATTATTGGATTGAGCTTATGCTGACACGTTGATAGTAGTATGTCAGAACAGAAAGTGTTCGAAGGCTTCCATCCCCAATAGTTCTAGTAGCGTATTTTTCTTATGTCGTCACTGGGATCTAAAGACGACCTAATGCATGCTGGATGGTTTCAATAGTTATACAGTTTATTTGTAATGTTCTTGTGTTGCAGGGATTCCGGAATGTCAGACTAACTTTCATTGTCCAGAGGACCGCTCATGTCGTCTGCAGAAGTGTGTAGATCCTTGTGAGGACGGAGTGTGTGGCAATAACACAGAATGTCACGTCAAGAACCATTATCCTGTGTGTTCGTGTAAAGTTGGTTACATTGGAGATGCCTACAATGAATGTGTAACTTACTGTAAGTATAAAAGAATTGTTACGACTCATCACAATTCTCATTGAAGCTATACAGAGATTCATGTATTTCACAGGGGGTGAAATAGTTTTACTATGTCAGTGTTACAAGATCAGTTATTTTTTCGGACCAGGTTACGGGGTAATGTAGCAAGCTACTAATAATAAATATCACCTGTGTCTATAATCTAAACTTCCCCTCTACACTCACTGAACAGCTTATATACCAGCCTATGTTGATGGCATCACACCACCCAACCATCTATTTTTATAAAATTCCTAATAAGGCACTTAAAACTATAAAAAGTATTGTACAAGTGTGGTACCGGTACTATGTGAGTACTATACTATCATTATGTAATATTTTGTGAGAACTATGTATTAGAACAGAACCGATGGGGAAGTGGGTACCTTTTCTCTATTGTGGACTCATAATGTTTCCCTGAAATCCACGTGTAATGCCAGTGAAAAATATCTGTAATCGTAAGTTGAGTGTGTTTATGGCCTTAAGATTTTTACAAAAGTTTGTGTTCGCCACGAACATGTAAACATAGGATAACTATTTTAAGAATGAAATATCCTGTCATGGGCTGTGTGCACTTTGAATAACGAGTTGTTACCTATTTTTCATTATCAACTGCTTCATTTAAATTGAATAGAGTAAAATGCTCACAAAGGCAATACCCACAAAATCTTGCCTATGTGATATCATTACATCCCAGCTAAGGATACACTATATATGAGGCTGTAATGGACCTGGGAAAATAACATTCACCGTCAGTTAAGCTGTCAACTTCTAGGTTTAATAATGTTATAGATGTACAGATATATTTTATTTGCAAAGCTTTAATATTATTTTGAGAGTTACAATTGGTGCAGTTGTTGCTGGTTTAATTGACAATAAATTTCAGTTTCAGGTTCATGAAAGCCAATTAAGTCATAGCACTTCCTCAAACCGTAGACTTTTTAACAGTACGCTGTGGGTCCCATCATCACGATTTTACAGATGTGCAGTTATAGCAGTTTTAATGACCCCTGTGACAGTTCAGCTTTTGAGGATCCAATCAAAGCAATAGAAGCAGTTAATTTCAGATCAAAATAAATTAAATTTACAATGTTTAAAGTTGTTGCAGGTGCAAGTGACAATGAGGAAAACATACAAAACCCAATTCAAAGTGAAAAAACCTTCTTACTTGTTAAAGAACCGGTCAGTATGCTAAGTCTACATTGGATATCCTTACAAATTAAAAAGGCACTATGTTAATTTTATTTAACTTATAACTGTAATCTTATAGCATTAAAAATTTTGTTCATTTTAATCGGGTATTTCTTAGTTTAATTTCTTCAAAAACCTTATAACTGACACACAATTTTTCAAATATGTGGATTTAGCTAAATACTTTTATTTTTAATACATATGGCTACACGCAACAATTAGAAATATGGAATGTAATATGTTGTAGATTATTGATGGAACTGTAGTTTTAACTTAAGTCTTAGATTTAGAATCTTTAACCCTTAATTTGGCAAACAAATCTTTTTTTTGAAAACTACTTTTTCCTTGCAATATTTCGATCAAAAAGGTCCAAAGGAACTTCAAAAAAATAATTTTAAAATTCTTATAAGTATTTTTCACAATTTTTTCATGTGTGCCATTTTTGGCACTTTGCCAAAGATGCGGAGATTTCTCTAGGAATCTCATGTTGAATTAAATACAACAAGTTTATCTGTATAGCACTTAAAAATAAATTTTAGTGGTTGAATAAGTCGACATTATCACATATTGGATATCAAAATTGTATAACTATAATTATATGTAAGATATAAAAAATCAATTTCTCCACAAAAGCTATCAAACCAATATAAAATTTTATAAACGTCATTATAATAAATGAACTAAAATGTATACACATATAAAACCTCTACAAAACTATGTGATTACAATAAAAAAATACATTATTATATAATTTATTGATATTTCATTAGTCATGTCCATCAGGAAAATCGTTTGAAATTTCATTAGAGTATGTCCATCAAGAAACGCCATCTACTTTTGGTGAAACCCCACAAAACAATTGCTATTTTCATTCAGTTACAGCCTCGCATTGCACTTTGAACACTCTATCGACGATTTTTTATTGTTGCAAAATCTGGATCGACCTCTCTTGATGTATACAAAGAAAGGGTAGTGTCCAACACCATCAAAGTGTACATCTTCAAAATACATCAGAACAGCTGGTGTGAGAAGAAGTAAATCCTTGTCTTTTAGATCTTGTCTTTTACTCCTTTCTTTGGTTAGCGATTTAAAAATCCCATAACTAAAATTTTTTAGTGACATATTGTCTTGTTGGTTTTCAGTTTAATTATGTTCAACGTGGCAGCAATGCGTTATTCCACGTTATGTTGATACGGTGAGCAAATATTTGTAAATACCAAAGTCTTTATCGGAATGCACAATAAACTTTCATATAAGAAGATTCAATTTCAGGAAAACTCTTTTTGGTAGATGTTTGTTGCATGGATGGTCGGGATTTTTTGTAAAGCCAAAGTCTTTTCTAAACAGCCTAGTGCAAAATCTTTCCTCACAAAAACATTTTTATTTTACAATTTGTCGAAATAAGAGACATACATTTACAAATATAAATACCTTTCACTGTTTTATAAACAGTGTGCCACTTTAGGCGTGCTCGATAAACTAAAAAGAAAATAACTGCATCTTTGGTAATGTGCCATTTTTGGCACGCCCAAACATTTTCATTGTTCCCTGGTTCTTTGGCAATGTGCCATTTTTGTCACACTCAAATTGTTTGGTTTATAAAAAAATTAATATTCATATTTAAGCTAATTACTGACCTGGGTTATGTTTTCTCATCTTTAATCTGTGCAAATCACTTAGATATATAAGTAAACAGCCTAAAATATTGAAATAAGAAGTAATTTACTAACCTTCTACACTAAGCCTCCATACTTCCTTTTCTATATGTTGGTCTAAAGTGATAGTAATTTCCAAAACATCCACTTTAGTGCACTAAACCATAATAGCAATAGGCAAAGAACCTTTGGACGCCGTTTGTTGGAATTAAAAAGTTAACAGGCGGACGTGACATTTTTTTGAATTCTCATGTGCCAATAATGGCACGCTGTCAAATTAAGGGTTAAACTTGCTTTACGTAAATATTTACCCCTTTTCTTTGTAGACGGACAAAGTTAAATTAAAATAGCAGTTTACGCAACGATTGCGTAAAGATAGTGTTAATGACACGAGTAGAAAATGTAAGGTACGAACCTTAATAACTTCTACGAGCGTCATTAACACTATATACCCGAGTTGAGTACACTACTTTACCTACGACAGTGTTTTAATGACTAAAATTCACTAATCATAACTTCTAAGAGAGGTTATGTTTTCGATTATAACCTCTCATTGCCACTGACAGTGATGCAACTAAACATTGTACTAAAAACGTATTGCACCAATCAACAATTAAATTGGCCTGAACAGCTGATTAGTTGCAGTTCGAATCATTACAGTTTTACTTCTCTCTCAATCCTTGAACCGCATTGGTCCGTTACCCGTGTTGTTAAGTAAAACTATGCTGATATGTAAGCAAACAATGCTGTTATGAGAAAATGTTCAATTCCAAGAACTGAACTGAAACGGCTACTTTAAAAAACGGTCGTAGGTAAAATAACATTATTTGCTTTAATATGTAAGTATTTATAGAAATATGAGAATGATTGATGAAAATGCAATATTTTGAAGCCATCGACCTGTAAATAGACGATTGACCATTTATGTGTTACAGAAAAAATGGTCGGACGCTCTTTTTGACTGCATGGGTCGTGGAATGAATCTGGCGTCAATCGAAAATGATGATGAGTGGAACGCTTTTCTTGGAACCATAAGGCGTAAGTAGTTTTTTAACACATTACACTCAATTGTTGCACAAACCAGTATACCAGTTAAAATTATCCAAATATTTGATAAAACAATTTTTATATTAATTAAGTGTAGTTTTTCCAAACCCCGTTTACATAAATTGTACAAAGGTTAAAATACATTTTACATTCTTGTAATTCCTCTGTTCCGAGACTGGACTACACGTTTGGAAAAAAAGCCCAGGGTTTGGACCGTTCTTCTACACAATACATTAAAAAACTCTAATCTATCTATATAAATAAATAATTTATAAATAAAACACTTTTTTAAAACAAAACGTTTTTAAACACACTAAAAAGTAGAAAATGATTTATAAATATGTGGAGAGTATAAATACTTTTAAGATTTAAAACAAAAAACGTGGGGTGCATGCAATAGATAACTTACAATTGCCTTCACCTATTGAACTAATGTATTATTATCAATTGCATGCACCCCACGTTTTTTGTTTTAAATCTTAAAAGTATTTATACTCTCCATATATTTAAAAATTATTTTCTACATTTTAGTGCGTTTAAACACGTTTTGTTTTAAAAAAAGTGTTTTTTATTTATAAATTATTTTCTACTTTTTAGTTTTTAATGTGTGTGGATGTTAAATCTATTTCAAGCATCAATATCAGATGAAGACAGAGCATGTGGAAATCTAAGGTTTATTTGAGTTTCTTTTCGTATAATTATGTATGGGATTGAATGTATGGCCTACCTACTAACTATAAATATATCAATTTATTTAATTTATTATTTACTTTATACAATACTGAATAAATAACAATTGACATTGTAACAATTCAATATTTTCACTAATATTTTTTTAATAGAATAATTTAATTTCCACCATATGTTTTTCATTTTATCTAAATGTCAATTCCTTTTCAAACCATATATAGTAATTAATTGTCCATGCAGACCAATAGGTAATACAATATAATATAGAAATTTTCAAATAACATAATTTTATGTAAATATATAATAGCCTATAACTTTTGTAACAAAATTGCTTCAAATTCAATATAATTTTATTTAAATAACTTTTCAAAATTATAATATAGCTCTATAGCAAATGAAATTTGTTATAATATATATGTGTAAACAGTGGCCTACAATTTTATGTGATGAAGTCAGCATTGACATATGTGAGTGCAACAATGCATCAGACCTTCATCACTTCCAATAGAGCCAAGATAGTATGAAGATGTAAATTGGACACTACATATTTAATATCAAAATTTTATAAAAAAAAGTACATTATTCGGACAAAATTAGTGGAATTTGTTGAAAGAAGACCCATCCTTGTTACGAACATTAATCATTTATAACATCAAGAATTTTGCTGCAAAGAAGACATCAATTTTGGTGAGATCACTCCAATAGACATTTTCCCCTTTGGAAGCCATTAAATTTGTTTTTTAGGCCTAACCTGTAGACTCAAATTCAAAGTCAAGAACTAATAGAAGCTTAACTTATTCAGAACTATTATTAATTCAACCAATCTATAATTCGAACATACTTTATATTTTAAAACAAAATTTAATTAGGCTTATATCACAAGATTAAATTCAAATGCCGCTTGATCACCCCACCTGAGATAAAGATCCTTGCAGTAAGTTATAACACTTGAACCTAAATTAAAACCATTGTAATAGGCCTAGCCTAAAGATTTTAAAGTAAATTCATTTCCCACTGTTTGTACAATTTATTGTGAACCCTTTTCTTTTCTTTTACTATCAGTTTTGTATTAAATTAATAAACTTAAGTTTCGATACTATACATGGAGTTTCCATTGTAGACCTAAGTTAAAGGTTGATTACAACATTATTAACAAACACCTTTATATATGGAATCAGATTGTTTATCTTTATTTTTAAATTTTTGTTTGTATAAAGAATCTCTTGGGATCATAACCTGTACCTTTTAACCTCTGCTCTTCGAATTGTCAAATTTAAGTATTTACACCTTTAATTGATATATTTACATTCTTTCAAAATGTAAACATGGAAAACTTGGAAGCCCGTGGAGCGTAGCCAAAGGGTAATATTAAAATTAAATGATATAATATTGCATTGTCATCCACTTGTGAGCTATGTTTCAAATTTCAAGCCTCTAGCTCATCAGGAACTTCGTTTGAAATTAATATCAAAATTATAAGGAAAGTGAGCTAATAAAAACAAGCCCATGGGGTGTAGCCCAAGGGAAATATGAAAATTTAGCATTGTCATCCATTTGTGAGCTATGTTTCAAGTTTCAAGTCTCTAGCTCATTGGGAAGTTAGTATCAAATTGATTGCAAAATTTGTAACGGACAAGAAAGCGAGCTAATAAAAACGTTTTAAAATTAATCCATTTTTGATGGTATTCTATAACTCGGGAACGAGTGCACCGAATTGGACGATTCTTCTTTGTTGTGTTCCTTAGTGCCGATTTTAGGTTTTTTTTTTAAATATTTAAATCAAATTCTAAATAATGGTTGGATGGATTATAAATTTTCATACATAAAAACCTTGCCCTGGCACTAAGGAACACAACAAAAAAGAATACCATTGGAGGGAAATGTTTTCATTAAACTGTGGAATACAATAACACGTGTTTAAAAAACATGTGTTAATTTTTCACCTAAAGGTGAGTGAGTTTAGCTAACGAACTTCAACCTGAAAGTGAGTGAGCGTAGGGAACGAACTTCAACCAGGACGTGATTGAGCGATGCGAACGAGCTCATATTGAAAATCAACGAGCATTTGACAAAAAACCACATTAGGACAGGACGACGTTTGTTGGGCCAGCTAGTAGTGTATAAAAATAAAGAACATTCTAAGCCCGCTTTTCTGAATAAAAAAAAGTCAACCGAATACTTGATTCCCGTACGTAGGACGAGCTTACAGCTAGTTTGTTATAATTTTATTACAACCTAATTACAACCATAAGGCTAAGGCTCGTATTTTGAGTTTTATGACTGATTCGATAATCTAAAGCCAGCTTGGTAATCTGTATATTTGGCAAAGTTTTTTAATGTGTAATTTAATGTTAAATGTGTGGATGTAAGTCTGATAAACAAATTTTGAAGTTTGCATTAGCAATACAGAGATTAAGTGATGCATGCAGAAGTCAAAACAAAGGAAGATAGTGCTATCATCTAAACAGGCTAACAAATCCTACCTTCCCTCTTCTCCAACACCGGGGTCGTCAGTCGTCGTTAGGCTCTCACAACGGTTAAGTAAGGTTTGAAAATGCCACACGTTGGCGTTGGTGCGGCGAAACGTCAGAAACAGAAAACTTTAGTCTGTTATTTTATTTCTGTATTTATTTTTGTATTTTTAATGTGTGTTTGTGGGTGAAATGGAAGTTTGGTGGTTCTCCCTATTTCAACAAGTTGAGTTATGCCCAAATATATTCTCTAACTGAATGCCGTTTATGTTGACAGATGTAGAAGAATATGTATGGATTGGTGGTCATGATTTGGGTAACTATCCGAATTTTATATGGATATCCACTGGACAACGACTTTCATATACCCGCTGGGAAGTTGGTGAGCCAAATTCGTCTAATTGTCACTGCTTGTTAGCTACCAATGAGGGATTTATGAACCAAGATTGTTCCTTTGCTCGTAAATATGTATGTGAGCAAAGAAAAACTATAGCTGAGAAGCCAACTCCTAAATATAGATCATAGGCATACAATTTGATCGATAATTAAATATAAAGTTATTTTTTCAAGTTGCATTTGTATTTCCCGCAGTTTTGCGTCCACCTTTTTACATATACAGCCATTGTAATTAGTATTTAATTCCAATTCAAATAAAGAAAAATGTCAAATAAATATTGTTATACATCGTTTTGCTTTCTCCCCCTACCCAGAGTATATAAATAAAGTATTGTTTTCATCAAAACCTTTAAGATTGAGTATTGGGATATGTCCGTTTTGGGATCACCTGAATCCCAAAAACACTCCCACCACAGCAAACCTCCAGGCTAAGCTAATTTCCATTTAACTGGTTGGATTAAACACAAAAATATTCCCTTCATATTGTCAGATTTATTTTCTATCTAAATTACATTACTATTAATGATTACTTGGACTTTCTGCTACAGAGAAGGTAATAAAATGTGCCATGAATAAATAATTAGAAATATTTCCCTAAACAAGCAAACCACGACAACAATTATTTATACTCTGTAAAAAATAACATGGAATCAAATAATAAGAGTTTTTTATTGTTTTCTCCAAAAAAATTAGGCATACAACAATGCCTTAATATACCAAATATTTTGTATTTTAGGTTCTACAAAATTATTTGGAAAAAAACTGTAAAATTTTGTTTTGATAATATGAGGAATGATTTGATTATGCTGGTTCACGAGCTCATTTGAATTGACTTAGATTTACACGTTTGTACAAAATTCCATTAAGACCGTAAGCGTTTTCCTTGAGTTATAGATAAGGGACACTCTGCTTAAATACTCTCTTCGAATAAAAGAGTTAATGAGTTATAGTTATCATGTTAACGGATAAATATAGGGTGAATCACGTAAGGTGTCCACTATAGGAGTAGTGGTGAACCCACAATATGAAGGCACTTGGGGCGTTTTTCCCCATAAGAATAACATGGTGGGCATTTTTTAGCCACTTTTTTAAAAATCCAGCCCATGGTCTATACAAGCCTCTATTAATGTTCAATACCATTGTATAACTTCATTACTATTTCAAATCCACATCCATTCACATGTATATTCTCAAAATCATCAACTTGACAATGCGAGGTTTGTACGCGAACTCGGTCCAAAGTTAGTAGGGAGACTAACCTTTCTCTACTAACCTTGAACTCGGGCATGCTGCTGGCCTTGAGTGCGACCGGTCTTCTCACTATGAACAGCAACACTGACATCACATCAAGGCTACTTCGGGTACCTCCGCCAAGGTTCGGTGAACCCACACGAGCAAGTGAAGAAGCGTCCATACCACTGCAATTAATTATGCAAACAGACCAGTCTCGGGTGTTCTATTCAATGTCGAGAGGGGGGGTATTGCAAGAGAGAGAACGCGGCGCGGGAGAGAGTGGCGACACATGTCTAGACAGGTCCCTGGCGCCAGACACACTGACCTGATTGATGTGATGACAGGTGACAGGTGTCAAATTAAATTTGTACTTTCATATTTTAATTTTCTCCAGAAATTGTTAAAATAAATTTTACAAATACACTGCAATTGTTAAAAATTATTTTATGAATTGTAGAGAATTCACTCGCTGGGAATTATATAAAAAGGCGGGGAAAACCGGTTCCTTCAGTCAGTCCCCTTCCGTCGCAGCCAGCGCAGCCATCTTGATCTCTAGCTCCTCCTCCTCTGGTAAGTTTTTTTTGCACATGTGGGGCTGGGCTAGTGGAAGGCGTCGGCACCGTGGACCTGTCAAGACATCTGGCGCCACGCCCCTGTCCTGGCATCCAATAGAACACCTGAGACTGGTCTGTCTGTATAATTAATTTCAGTGGTATGGAAGCTTCTTCACTTGCTCGTGTGGAAATGACACTTAGTTAAGTGACTGCCTGTTTGTGTATTTATTATTTGAAACTTAGAGTTTTTCTCAATATAATTGTGACAGTCAAACTTAAACTTTTAAGTCCCAATTTTTGAACTTAGAAAAATTTTTACAAAGTTTTTTCTTTAACACTTAGATTATTTTTCTCCAATTACACTTAGTCGTTTTTTTATGTGACTTCTACTATACAAAAATTTACTAAGTCCTGATTTTTAAAACTTAGCCAAATCTCACTCTCAGAGTTAACATAGGTAGTCTTTCCTATTGTAAACACACTGTATAAATGTAAACTCAACATTCTGAGTTGCTAAAAAGTATTTTTTAATTAACAAATTTAACTTTTAAGATTTAGTTTTGACTTTGAAAATTGCAATTGTTAAATCTTATTGTATAAAATTGTTTTGAATATTAAAACATATATTTAAATTTAGAATTCTGATTTAAATTATTATTTCTCATTAATTGAAATTTTCAAAATGTATTTTCTTCTAAAGAGTTTTTCTCAATATAATTGTGACAGTCAAACTTAAACATTAAAGTCCCAATTTTTGAACTTAGAAAAATTTTACAAAGTTTTTTCTTTAACACTTAGATTATTTTTCTCCAATTACACTTAGTCGTTTTTCATGTGACTTCTACTAAACAAAAATGTACTAAGTCCTGATTTTTAAAACTTAGCCAAATCTCACTCTCAGAGTTAACATAGGTAGTCTTTCCTATAGTACACACACTGTATAAATGTAAACTCAACATTCTGAATTGCTAAAAAGTATTTTTTAATTAACAAATTTAACTTTTAAGATTTAGTTTTGATTTTGAAAATTACAATTGTTAAATCTTATTGTATAAAATTGTTTTGAATATTAAAACATATATTTAAATTTAGAATTCTGATTTAAATTATTATTTCTCATTAATTGAAATTTTCAAAATGTAATTTCTACTATATAGAAGATGCCAACCTAGGTTTTTAGTTACATATATAAAATGAAGACTACATGTCAACATTGCTCTGCGTCGCTCTCCAAGAGCACTTGATACGCCACTACAAGTTAAAACATCAAATGAAGGTAAAACTGTGTAAAGTTTGTAATTTAATCTGTGATAGTAACATAGCTCTAAAATCTCATATATTACAAACTCACAAGACTTGTAGTTTCTGTAAAAGAAATGTTGTTGGTCATTTTAAAAGACATGTAAATTCTTGCAACAAATGTCCATATACAATGATTCAATTTGTTGGTGAATCGATTAAAACTAAACTTAAAAATACTCTTCAGTCTTGTCCTCTGCCAATAAAATGGACTTTAATAAGGAGAATCAAATTTATTAAATATACAATAGATCAAAATGGAAAATTTATTAATGAAAAAGAATGTATTGCAGATTTTAGAAGCCTTACCATCCTAACCATTGAGAAGAGAGATTTAAAGTCTCAAATAGAAAATGTACTTTTAAAGATTGACGCGTCGATTCATAAATATCAAGTGCAAGGCAGTGGATGGATATATGACCATACTAAATATTGGCAGTTACATGTTTACAAATATAAGCCCCTAACTCCAAAGTCATATATTCCAACACCAAAAAGTATTCAATTGACAAAAGCAGTTCTAAATATAAGAAATTTTGACAATAAATGCTTCCTTTGGTCAATTTTTGCAGCTTTATATCCAAGGAATTGTATCAATGAAAGTGCTAACAGGGTCTCTAACTATACACCCTATGAAACACAGTTAAATATGACAAATATAAAATATCCCGTAAAAATATCTGATATAGATAAATTCGAAAGACAGAATAATATAAGTGTCAATGTATTTGGAGTTGAAGACCATAAATGTGTATATCCATTAAGAACAACCAAACTAAATAGTAATATTCATATAGATTTATTATTATTACAAGAAGGTCGTAAATCACATTATTGTTTGATTCGTGATTTTAATAGGTTAATGCTGCGGTCTACAAAAGATGACCATAAGAAGCATTTTTGCAAGTTTTGTTTACAACATTTTTACACTAATGATATATTAGAACGTCATACAACAATTGTAAGAACTTTGATGCTCAAAGAGTGGAAATGTCTAAACAAGATACATTACAATTTAAAAATTTTAAATATCAAATTAAAGCCCCATTTGTAATTTACGCTGATTTTGAATGCTTTATAAACTCTAACAACCATACTCTATCTGGATTTGCATTTGTCGTAGTAAAAGATTTAAAAATTATTTCTGAAGAGTTGTACAGTGGCACAAATGTTATAGATGTGTTTTTTCAAAGATTATTTCAGACTTATGATTATATTAAAAATCAAATGGTAATATATATTCCCTAGTAATGACTCCTGAGCAAGAGGTATCTTTCCAAAACTCAACACACTGTCACATTTGTGAAAAACCCCTATATTTTGATAGGGTACGTGATCACTGTCATTAATCTGGCCGATACCGTGGAGCTGCCTACAATGATTGTAATTTAAACTATAAAGTAACAAAGAAAATACCAGTATTCTTACATAACTTGAAAAATTATGACGGACATTTAATAATGCAACACTTGGGAAAGTTTAATAATTGTAAATTAAATTGCATAGCCAAGGATATGGAAAAGTACATTTCATTCTCAGTTGATGATTTAGTATTTTTAGATTCCTATAACTTTCTGTCCCTTCCATTATACAAATTAGCTTCCAATTTAAATACATTTAGATTCATAGACAATCCACTACTACAACGTAAAGGCGTATTTCCCTATGAATACATGACGGGACCAGATAAGTTTACAGAGTCTCTACCCCCAATTGAAGCATTCTATAGTACTCTAACTAAAGAACATATCTCTTCCAACGAATACGAACATGCTAAAAATGTCTGGACCCATTTGAATATAAATAATTTACAAGAGTATCATGATTTATATCTTAAAACAGATGTATTGCTACTGGCTGATGTCTTTGAAACATTTAGAGACCTGTGTTTAAAAGATTACAAACTTGACCCCGTACATATGTATTCACTCCCTGGACTAACATGGGAGGCCTGTCTTAGAATGACCGGTATAAAATTACAATTATTTCAAGATATTGACATGCATTTGTTCATAGAAAGTGCAATCAGAGGAGGAGTCAGTATGATTTCTACACGTTACGCTAAAGCCAATAATAGATATATGGGCGAACATTATGATCCCAATCAAGAGAGTGTGTATTTAATATATTTAGATTGTAACTCGCTATAATCTACAGCTATGTGTGAGGCACTACCTGTGGATGGATTTC